TCAGCGTCTGTGCATGCATGCGACTCATTGCCCGAGCGATTGCCCTGTGCGTTTCATTTCTCCTCTTCCCTTGCTCCTCAACTCGCGTTTCCCCTCTCACCCCGATCTCATCCACACTTTCCTCCCGCTCTCTGCCTCACCTCTCTCCCACCTGCCATCTCCCCCCCCCCTCCCTTCCTCTACTCCAGATCCCAGCATCTCAGCTCTTCAACTTCCACACCCCTCGCACCAGCTCAGACGACCCCATGCTGAGTCCTACACTGCAGACCGCTCCCACATGCCCCTGCACGGACACGGGAGAGGGGGGAGGGGGGAGGCAGGGGGGGAGAGGGAGAGGTGGAGGGGGAGGGGGCAGAGAGGGGAGGGGGAGCGGGAGGGGAGTGAGTGACGGTGATGCTATGGCAGCGAGTATTGAGTTGGCGATGGTGGATGCGGCACTCCGGGAGTCAGCTGCTGCTGCTGCTGCTGGGGCGTGGGCAGGAGGGGTAGCAGGGGCGGAAGCAGCGTTGAAGCCTTCCCTTCCCTCTCCGCCGCCTCCGCGAATGCTAGGGGAGGTGTTGAGAGCAGCGGTGATGGCAGTGGTACCGCTGGGGTGCTGGTGGTACTGGTGGTACTGGTGGTGCTGGTGGGTATGCGGACAGGGCGCTTTCAGGGGCTACACCAGGGGCGGTGGTGGACACCCTGTTTCCTCGCTGCCCAATGCTGCCGGGGCTGGGAGGAAGAAGAACAAGGGCAGGCAATGGGCGGCAGCCGGAGCGGGAATCGGCACGTCAGCAGGTGCAGCAGGCAGCAGCAGCGGCAGCAGGGCGAATTCAGCAGCAGCGGGTGGTGGCCGACCATGGCAGCAGTTCTCATGAGTGATCCGGGCTGGAGCAGCATCACTAACCGGGGCGTTACAGCAGGAGGAGGGGGAGGAAGGGGGGGAAGGAAGAAGGGCAGTGGGTGGGCGGGGTTGCCTGCACGAGGGGCAAGAGGCGGCATCAAGTCCTCAACGCTGCCGGACCTATCATTTCCCAAGCCAGCACGGGAGGCTCAGGGTGTGGCGCGAGGGCCGGGATGGAGTGGTGGTGGTGGTGGTGGTGGTGGTGAGGGAGTAGTGGAGATGGATGGGCGATGGTGGGTGAGTGGGAGAGCATGGAGGTAGAGTGGGGATTGGGGTGGGCGGTAGTGACAGTGGCTTGGCTGTGACTCCCTCTGCGTTCTCCCTCTTGTCTGCAGGGCAGGAGGAGAGCGAGGGGGAAAGCGAGGGAGAGAGCGAGGGGGAGAGTGAGGGAGAGGGTGAGGGGGAGGGAGATGATGGGAGGAGTGACAGGCCAGGAGGGAGGGGATTGTTGCCGTCACGCACGTCGTCATCACCATCACTATCATCATGGGCATCAGGAGCAGCAGCGGGAGCAGCAGCAGGAGGAGCAGCGGCACGGACAGAGAACGGTTATTCAAGGAGCGAAGGGAGCAGCATCCTGGACCGTCTGCAGCTCGACGAAGCGGAGTTCCGAGCCGCAAACCGAACAGTGTTGGAGGAGATACGGTCGCTGGGAGGGGACAAGGCCAAGCTGGAGGACTTCAAAGACAAGTCGGTGCAGTTCAAGTCGGGTGGGATGCTGACCGTGTGTTCTACGCACACGTGTTCCGCCTGGGATTGAGCCACGTGGTGCCCCAGCTCGCGCGGCTGTGCCCGGATGTGAGGAAGAAGGAGGAGCTGCTGCAGGCACACGCGCAAAGGAGGCGATGATGCGCAGAGGGGGAGGAACGGCTTCTGCTGCTGCTGGTGCTGGTGATGACGCAGCAGCTCCTGTGGTGGTGATGGTGGTGGTGGTGGTGGTGGTGGTGTGTCTGGTGTGGCTGGTGAGTGGTGCAGTCAGGCAGAGCAAAGCAGGGTAAAAAGGGCGGGGTCGCTTCATTTTCCTCCTCCTCCGTCTCTACCTCCTCTTCCTCCTCATCATCTCCTGCCCCTTCCATGTCATCCCCGCCCAACCGTTCCGCGCTGAGTGCTGCTCCTGCGCCGCGTAACGCCAAGCCATCTGTGGACCAACCGGAGAGCTCCAGCTGGGCGTGTGGCATCTGCACGCTCATCAACGACCCCTTGGCTCTTTGCTGCGCTGCCTGTGGCTCTGTCAATCCCAAGGCATGCAAGGAGGCAGCGACAGGGAGGGCGGAGCAGCAGGAGGGGAAGGGGAGGGGGAGGTGGGGGTGGGGCACAGAGGGGCAAGGGACGCAAGAACAAGGGGATCACGGTGAGGTTGGGTGATGGCTCTGCTGCCGCGCTCCTTGGTCGCATGGATGGCAGGGAAGCAGAGGGGCCGCCTAGTAGCTGGGCTGCTGCTGCTGGCGCTGGTGGTGGTGGTGGTGGTGGTGGAGGTGCATGGGGTGGCAGTGGTAGAGGTGCCTGGTAAGAAGCTTGATGGCCAGAATCGTGGAATTAATGTATGAAAGTGCCCGGGAACTCTTTAGCACTAGTGATTACTGACTGGAGGTATTTGTTAGACTCTTTTGATATGTTGACTAACTTACCACATTGTGATTCGTCAAGTTTACACTCAATGCAGTCTAGTTGATCTGTTTATTCGACTTATATCCTAAACCCTCGGGTTTTCCGCGATGGGGTGGCGTTCCGCGGAGACACCATTTCTGTTGCCATCGCCGCCATCCACACCACAGCTCCCCCCTCCCCTCCCAATTCCCCGCCCCCGAACCTCCAGTTTCGGTTCTCCCTGCCAATTCCTGCCTGCCTTGAGGGATAAATTCCTGTCCCCCCATGCCTTTCTCTCAACTTCTAGATAGTTCGTGTTTATGTTGTGCCCCCACATCTCCTTGCTGAACCTCTCTTGGAGACGTAACGCATTTGCCGCCTTTCAACCCGATCGCGTGCCGTTCAACAAGGGCGTTCTTTGAACCGGTAAGCCGCCTTTTCGCGTCCTCGTTTCGTTTCTGTTCATCCGTTCTCCTCCTGGTCGGCTCCTAGCTTAATCATCTGCATCTCCCTCCGCTCGCCCTCGGGTTGAGTTCACGGGAAGAGGCACTCGCTGGAGACGAAGAGCGTCCAGAGGCTCTTAAAACCCCGCGCGCCCTTTCTGGTGGCCGACTGAGGTTACGCAAGTCTCGACATCGTCTAGTATTCGACGTTTCGCGTCTCATTGTGTGTTCGCGGTTGCCCCTCTGCTATTGAATTTCCATTTACATATAACAGGGTGTTCCGTGGCAGTTGCCTTTCTGCTGCTCCCTTCGATGCTGAATCTCTCACTGCTTCCCACTGTGTGATCGATTGCCCTACTCCCGTCTGCAGTAAGTCCAGGCCAGGGCTTGTCTGACAACGGACGGACCTACCTGCATATGGCGAGGACAGTTCGGGATTAGGCACACAGTTAGCAGAACAAGTTATTTGGTTTGTCATTGTTTCGTAAATATGGTAATTTCGTACATTTCGAAGCTCCTTCTAACAGTCACGAAGAAAAAGACTTGTCAAGTGGCTGTCTTCCATAGAGGTTCAGGGAGTCATAAAGTCACCAGTCCTAACCATTGGACATGAAGGGATGTCCTCAGGAGAGCTGAGCTCCATATATCCACCTTCCCAAGAGAAAGCTATCAGAATTGAAAATTGAATTGATGGTAAAGTGAGAGTACACACAAATATACCTAAGTGTTGTACCCTCTAAGAGGTAACCCTATACAGTCTATACAAACATGACAAATACAGATGTTTGACACACCCCCTAGACTGCATAGGGGAATACCCTAAACAAGCAGCTCAGGGCGGCACTACTAGTCCAACCTCTGAGACAAGGGTCTGAGAGACCAGTCAGAAGGAGTACAGACAAGGCAAGAACAAGAGCAGGGCGGCACTACTAGTCCAGCCACTGGGAGAGGACACAAGTCCAGTCTGAGTATACATATAAAGGACAGTACAAAGTCAAGGTCCTAGCAAGTGAGAGGCTACAGGAACTAGACCAAGCTGTACACAGTGCCGCTGATGATCTTTAGGCGCAAGCGCCTTCGTAAAGATATCAGCCGTGTTGGCACCTGAGGCCAAGTGTACTACGCGAGCCTGACGTCGCTGCTGTAGCTCACGCAGGAGGAAGTACCGCAGCTGAATGTGCTTCGCTCTGCCCTCGAGTCGAGGCTCCTGACACAGGAGGATCATGGCCCTGTTGTCAGCGAACAGGACCGGGGCAGAGCTAGGCCGCTCACCTAAGTCAGTGAGCAAGAAGGTCAGCCAGCGGAGCTCCTGTGCCGCCATGGCACCAGCGTAGATCTCAGCCTCACAGCTGGACTGTGCAACAGACGAGGAGCGAGTAGCTCTCCACGAGACGGCACCTGAGCCAAGGCTGAAGCAGTAGCCCTGGGTAGACCTGAGTGTCTCAGCGTCGTCTGCCCACGAAGCGTCTGTGTGTCCAGTAAGGACCACTGGCCTGCGTCCTCCTAGCACTAACCCCATGCCCGATGTACTAGCAAGATAACGCAGAACCCTCTTAGCGGCAGACCAGTGCTGCGGTCGGTGTCTGCCTGTGGCCACAAAGCGAGCCAGGATGCTGAGAGGGTATGCGAGATCTGGGCGAGTGCAAGTCATCAGGTACATGAGGCAACCCACCAGCTCTGCGTAGGGGCCGCTGGGCTCTACCAACTCCTCAGACTGGAGCGGAGAGTCTGTGGTCTACAGGCAGAGGGGTGGGCTGTGCAGAGGAGAACTGAAGGCTGAACCTCTGAAGGACCTGGCGCACCAAGTGTGACTGAGTCAGGGTGATGGTGCGCGCAGCTCTGTCCCTGGAGATCTGCAAGCCAAGGTAACGGCGCAGTTCTCCAAGGTCAGTGCAGGTGTGTCTCTTCAGCAGCTCTGCCTTCACGGAGGCCAGTGCGTCCCTGTCTGCTGTGGCAAAGACCAGGTCGTCGACGTAAACAAGGATGTAGAACGGAGTCTGGCCAGCACGAACGAAGAGTGAAGGGTCTGCGGAAGACGGAAAGAACTGCAGGTCAGCAAGCGTAGCACGAGAGTGTCGTGCCACTCACGGGGAGCCTGGCGCAGGCCGTAGACGGGGCGCCGCAGGAGCCACTGGGTCCCAGGAGGGAAGGTGCCAGTAAAGCCCGGAGGGCGACGCAGGTAGACCTGCTCGTGTAGGCTGCCCTGAAGGAAGGCAGTGGAGAAGTCGAGGGAGTGAAGCTCGTAGTCACGCTGAGCAGCTAGGTGTAACAGAACCCGAAGAGTAGTCATCTTCGGGGTCGGAGCGAAAGTCTGGAAGAAGTCCACCCCCTCGCGCTGACTGAAGCCTCTAGCCACATAGCGCGCCTTGAAGACAGGCGGCTCTCCAGGAGGGCGCTTCACCTTGAAGAGCCAGCGGCCATCGACTACGTTCACCCCAGGTGGGGGAACTGCGTCGACGAAGGTGCCGGTGGATCTCCAAGATGCCATCTCCTGCTCCATGGCAGCTATCCACTGCGAGGCCCAGGGTCCCGAAGTCGCCTCAGCGTAAGTGCGAGGGGTCGGGATGTCGAAAGCGTCTGGGTCACCCTCAGGGACTAGCAGCATGGAACAGAGATGGGGAGCAGCCTCGGAGAGGAAAGCAAGCTCGAACTGGCGGTCCTCCAGGACGTCACTGCCAAGGGCAGGAGCACCCCCGACAGACGGAGGACAGGCAGGGTCAGAGACCAGAGCGGTGGCGTAGTCAAGGCGGCGGGTAGAGGCGAAGTCAGCGACAGCAGCGACAAGAGCGTCAAGGCACGAGACCGGAACAGACGGGTCGGTAACGAGAGAGGCAAGGACCCGAGGAACGAGAGGACGAGCGGCACGAAGGTAGTCGGACAGCGGGGGGGCGCAACAACAAGGGAGGACGGAGGAGGCGACGGCAGAAGGGGAGGACGAGACGCGTGGGAACGAAGCAACATAGGGTGGGAGCGCAAGACAGGCGAGGCAGGACGAGCACGGGAGGGACGGTGAGACCAGACGTGCGACGGAGGAGTCGGGTCAGGAGACAGGGGAGGGGACACAGGAGGGGAACGAGGGGGGAGACGGCCGGGGACGAGTCCGGCGGAGGGAAAACAGGGCCGTAGACAGGAAGAGGAGGAGACGGTCGGGGAGGAACCGACGCAGGGTCGGGGGACGGAAGGCCGAGCAGGCGAAGGGCGGACACCGGCGGGGACTGCTGCTGCGGCGGCACAACGGCGACACCTGGACCGCAAGCTGCTCCTCGGCTACCACCGGCACTCTCCACACCAGCACCCCCAGAGGGACCACCCCAGGGCGACCGGGACGAGCACCCCCAGAGTCAGCGAACGGGGGCTGCGACGGCGGCGGCGGCGGCGGACGCGCGGCGGCGGCGCGACGACGACGGCTGCAGCAGCGGAGGGCGGTGGAGGAGGGGACTGGGGAGGGGACACCTGGGGAGGGGCGGCCGGCGAGGACTGCACAGGAGGGCCACCAGAGTCAGAAGACTCCTCAACCGGGTCCACGGACGGAAGGGGGGTGACGTGGGACACACCAGAGGGGGCGGGACGGGGAGGAGGAGGAGGAGGGGCAGGGACTACCGGGGAAGGGGTGACCAGGAACAGGGGGGGGTAACCGGGGGACCACGGTGGGGAAGCGGCGGTAGTAGGAGACGGACTCGTCAAAGGTGACGTCACGAGAGTGAAAGAAGCGGTGAGACGGCGGGTGGTAAAAGTGCCAGTCGGACGCGTCAAGGGGAAAACCGAGGAAGACGCAGGGAAGGGTGCGGGCAGTGAGCTTGTCCGTGCCGGAGGCACGGACGTGAGCAAGGCAGCCCCAGACGTGGAACGCAGACGCGTCACCAGGAGACCCAGTCCAAAGACGGGTCGGCGAAACCTGCGGCTGCTGAGGGTGCGGCCACAGGTTAAGCTGGTGAGAAGCGTAGCGCACAGCGAACGGCCACAGAAAATGGGGTGCACCGGCATGGATCATGGAGGTGCGAGCCACCTCCATGACCAAACCGATGCGTCGCTCAGCGACCCCATTCTGCTGTGGGGAGTCCGGTAGGGTGAACGTCTGGGTGATGCCCTCCGCACGACAAAAGCGACCAAGGACACCTGAGGCAAACTCGCCACCACGGTCTGAGTGAAGACGCAAGACAGGGAGACCGCGGTGGACACGCGCAGAGACAAGCCAGGGGATGAGAGCGCCAGGCACGTCGGCCTTGCGCTCCAGGGGAAAGACTGTGGTGTAACGAGTGAAGTCGTCGACAAGCACAAGGAAGTAGCGCTCTCGACGCGGCCCAGGGACGGGGGCGGGGCCCCAGACGTCCAGGTGCAGGGTCTGCAGCGGCGCGGCGGTAGGGGGAAACGAGGAGGAGTGAGGGGCACGGCGAAGCCGACCCTCGACACAAGGCGTGCAAGGTGGGCTGGGGAGGAGGGAAACGCGGGGAGGAACCTGGGAGACCAAGGACAAGACCGTGCTGGGACATGTGACGCAGACGCGGGAGCGCAGGGTGACCTAGGCGGTGGTGCCACAGGAGGGTCGGGTGAGTGAGGGAGCGACAGGAGCAGGCAGCAGCAACCTGGGTAGACGCAGCCACCTGAGGGGCGCTCCAGCCGGGGGGTCACGGTGTCCAGAGTGAACAGGCCGGACACCGGGTCCCGGGGGAACGTGGACAGGGGGGCACCAGTGGCGGCCTCGGTACAGACAGCATACCGCTCGTGACCAGGGAACGTAGTGGTGACGCCAAGGTCCTGGAGGCAGCCGACACCAACTAGGTTCCTGGAGAACGAGGGGATATGCAGACCTGTAAGAGAGCCCGAAGGAACCGCCGGACAGGGAAGGGTGGTGGAACTGCGGGCGACTACCGGACCGCCGGAGGGGTCAGCAAGAGAAACGGCAGCAGGAACAGGAAGCGGCGTCAGGGTGGTGGAGTCGCGGAAGAAACACCGAGAGGCGCCAGAGTCCAAGGTGAAGGAAAGCGAAGCCGAGGGTCTGGCGACGGAACGACGGCGGAAGCACCAAGACTACACAAAGCAGGGGATCCTACGCCTGACGCAGCAGGGGAGGCTAAGCTAGGCACACCTACACTAGGCAACAGTGAGTAATAAGCGGAAGCACACTAGAGTCATCAGCATACATCACATGCAGAGCAGAAACAATGGCATCCATGTCCATATCAAAATCTGAATCTGACGACTAAGCAAACTGTGCCAGTCCGGGAGGTCTGGCGACGGGCCGAAGCGCTGACGAAAGAGGTCGTCCAGGCGACGAAAACAGCGGGGAGTGGAGTGACCGATCTTACCGCAAACGAAGCCGCGGCGAGGACCGGTCTGGATCTGGTACTGACAACGCCCGCCGCCAGAGCCACCACGCGGCACACCACCACGCGCCCGGCCACCGCCAGCGCCGGGCCACCCTGGCGGGAGGACACTCGTCTGCCGCGTCTGCGACGGCTGCTGCGGCTGCTGCGAAGGCTGCGACTGCGGCGGCTGCTGCGGCTGCTGCAACTGCAGGGGCGGCGAC